TGTGGTGGTCGCTCTTTTTGTTTGTTGAGTGACTTGCCTGGGCTAATTAGATGGAGTATCTCCTTGCGCTCCTGCAGGTTTGCATTCTTGCCTATGTGTGCAGCTTTGCAGGCTAGCATGCAGACTACTATTGAAAAGCAGAACCTTCTCAGGGCTCACTGTGAAATTTCTGGCAGATCTGTCGCAAGCACAGACTACTTGTGATATTGACCTTCCTTGAGTTTTGCTCCTGGGACTGTGTTTTTGAGGATGCACCTAGACTTGGAATTTCAAATGCTGCACTCCAAAGAAATTTAGCTTTCTCTGACATTATAATGGCCATTCTTCATGGCTTCCCTGTGACCACATACCTGTGACACATCACTGGAACAGGTGTAGGTTGGGAGGAGCCCGAGGCTAAAGCACCCTCAAGTTCCCTGTTCCCACTGAGATGCAATAGATGTTCTTGAATAAACACGTTTCAATTTCTTGTATGTTTTCAGAACATTTCTAGAGTTCCCAAGTTTTCTGGGATAATGATGTCTGATTTTCTTGTTACTATCTGGGAGGTTTGATTTTCCAGGCTTCTCATTCAACCATTTTCAAAGTTCTTCCCCTTGCCTTTTTTCTCCTTCTCCCTTTCTATCAGAGGTTGTCTGTGTGTGTCTCTCTCTGTGTAGGCCTCTGTATGTTTAAACACTTAAATATTATTCAAACAAATTTATTCTATATTATGAAGTCGGGATATGTTGACCTTTTTATTTGGTAAGTAGCTGGTTATTTTAACAGCACTTGTCTAATTGACGTGTATACTTCTGATTTGTAAGATTAATGATTTATTCTCTAATTTCAGAGGTAAGGTCATCTTTTTTCTGCAGCAGTAGTTCATTAGTTTCTGTTCTCTTTCACTTGGTTTCCTCTTTCCTGGTTTTCCATGTTTCTTTCCTTCTAAAGAGGCTCCCTTATTGATTCAACTTGTTGAGCACTTGTTATGCACGACAGGTTGTACTGGCTTTGGGAAATATAGAAGGCGGTGAAGGTGTTTCTTTCACCCAGAGGCTCTCTTCAAGGGTACGTTTCCTGAAGTAATCCTTTTCCAAATACCTCCTCATTCCTGCCTTGATGTACAATGGCATTGTGTGAACCCATGACACCACTAACTGGGTGCTGATTCCATCCTACCCCAACTCACCTCTTCAGGTGCAATGTGCCCATGGTAAAATCCTTCTCTTGAGATGAGTGCAGGGCAGTTGGGCAGTTTATCAGTGGCACTTGGTCCTAGAAACTGTTGACTATTGAACAGCGATTGACTTGTGCTCTCAATCTATCAGACTTTGAGTGCCCAGGAATTCTCCCGGGTTACTAGATCTTCACCACTGCCTTGCTGGGAAGAGAAAACTCCTCCATTCATCTGATCGGCAGTCTTGTATGCTCAGCATATTTCCATCACCTCCGATGGTAAGTTTTGACTCTTTTTCCTATTTAGGTGATTTCCTTGTTCTTTACTCTCTCCGTGCTGGCTTGTTTTCAGTTCAGTTTCCCTGAACGACCCTGCTCTACTTGGTGTTTCGCTGTTTGCCCATGGAAACAAGCCCATCCATTCATTGAAGAGGGGTTGTTCTGTGCATGGTACTGTGGGAGCCACTGGGGTTACGATGAAGAACTCCACCAGACATTCCTTACTCCTTGAGACAGAGAGACAGGTTAGGTGTCAGTCACCCAAAGTGACATATCTGCTAGGAAGGAAAGGTGCAGATGCAATTGGCCAAGGATCCTTGAGTCGTGGTCTCATTTAGCTGGCCGTAATGTCCCTTGATGTTGTATTCTTGTCTGCCTCCAGACTCGGTATATGGAGGACCACATTTGGGATTCTGGCATTTGTTTTAGAATTATTTTCACTGGCAACTTACTTCAATCCCATGTCCTACCCAAGGCTGGCATTTGGGGGAGTTGTGTCCTTACTAGGGCAGCGGTTCTCAACCTGTGGGTTGCAACCTCTTTGGAGGTCGAACAACCCTTTCACAGGGGTCGCCCAATTCATAACAGTAGCAAAATTACAGTTAGGAAGTAGCAATGAAAATAATTTTATGGTTGGGGGGGTCGCCACAACATGAGGAACTATATTAAAGGGTTGTGGCATTAGGAAGGTTGAGAACCACTGTTACTAAGGGAATGAACCCTAACCATGAACCACCTTCTCCTTTGGGAATTCTTTTCTCCCTTGCCTCCTTAATACTTGACGTTATTAGTTCTTCCCCTGTCTCCTTATAAACTTCTTTGTTAAAATGTTCTACTTCTTTCTCTGTGTACTTCTAAAAGCTACCCTAACTCAGATTTTGTTCTGGTCTCTCATCTGCTATTGGCATACCCTCTTGGTAGTCTCATCAACTCTAGAAAGCTTTGGGCTACTCTCCTTATGTGAATGAATGGCTAATTTCTCTCTCTGTTCTCCAGCTTTTAAGTGTTTGGTAGATTGCACGACGTAGATTACGCTACATTGATGTAAATAATGCCCTGCTATGTAGATGTAAATAATATCCTGCATAGAATTAATTTAGTAAAATTCTCATCTCCCAAAGACCGCCTAGCTTGAAACCTCCCACTACTGCTACCTGCAGATGGGCCTGGTTGCCAGGTGGTGGCACCTTTTTCTGTGCAGTGTGATGGTAAGGGCCGCTTCTCATCACTGTCTACTGGAATAACTGTAGTTCTGCCCTACCTTTTTTCTTACCAGGTCTGCCTGACTTATTTCCTAATGCACAGATGTTGCTAGTCTAGCCTCATGCCAGACTATTCCGAATCCTGTGTGTGGTGAATGCTCCCTAGTCTTCTCTTCTGCTGAGGAGACCTTGTGGCGTAGTGTTTATGCATTGGGCTGCTAATCGCAAGGCCAGCAGTTCAAAATCACCAGCCACTTCTAGGGAGGAAGACTGTTTTTTCTACTCCCTTAAAGAGATACAATCTTGGAAACTCAGAGGCAGGTCTACCCTTTCCTATAGGGTCACTGTGAGTTGGTGTCAACTCAATGGCAGTGAGTTTGTTTCACTTTGGTTCTTCTGCTCATTCATGCTTGGTCATTCATGTGCTTTAGACGCTCCCTGCAACCTAGAAACACTGGACTGGTTTTCTAGGCCTTCAACAATTTGATTCCAACTTTTTGTTTTCCTTGCCACGGCATGCCTTCTTATAGGCAGACACTATTCAAATGGAATTCATGTTGCAAGACCCAGCCTCTATTTCCGTCTCTCCACTTTTGCTGGTTTTTTTTTGTTTGTTTGTTTGCCAGCAGTATGCCTTTCTCACCCTCTGGGCGTGACTTTTCCTTCCTTAGCTCTTCCCCGAAGCTCTCTGAGATTCCCTGGCCTGAGATACTCTCGTTTCTCATCACGTGTACATTTCCTCATCCTTCCCAGTTGTAATGATCGGTGCCTCTGCCTGCGTCTCACCTAGGTAACCCTGCGTGCCCCTCTCTGCGCACAACGCTGCCCCTTGCAGAAAGAAATGCTTGATGAGTCATGAGTGACTGGTGCAAGTTGGGATTCAGCCCACTGGGCCATCTGGGCTCCTCTATATACGTTTTCTACCGTCTCGTTGATAACCGGAGTCTGCACAAAGGTGGGGGAAAAACAGAATGAAAAGATAAAGGAATCTGTCCATGAACTTCTTGAAACCACCTTGTCATCTCAGACCAGGTCTCTTTCTCTCCCACAATTTGACTGAGCTAAAATCTCTGACCCTCTTCATGTGTCAACAGGTGGGCTGTTGTCCTTTCTCACTGTTGCCTCTCTTCTGAATTACTCTGGATGGAAACGTAAAGAGAAATGATGTGGTGGTGGTGAAAGATGTGTGTGGGAAATTCAGAGGAATAGGGGTGTTAAGAATGACATCTTGATCCATTTTATGGGAAAGCAGACTGGCCACCAGGATTTTGGAAATTTGCAAGGCTAGGTTTCAATGCTGGGCTGGTTGCCAGCAGAGACCAGAAAAGAGAAGTTATGATGACATGCTTGGTGTCCAGGTGGAAAGCCAGGGGCCAGCTGCAGGGCCCTACATTCCAGTCTGCTGATCCAAGCAGCTGCTCTCGTACTTCTTGGAAGCAGCTGCTCAAACTTCTGGCCAGATAAGTGGTTTGAGGTGATGGCAGGTAAGAGGAGGCAAATAGAGGTCGAACGCCAGCATTGCCATTTCTGAAAGCTAATGAACCATCTGGGACCCCTTAGATCAGCGGTTCTCAACCTGTGGGTCACGACCCCTTTGGGGGTCAAATGACCCTTTCACAGGGGTCCCCTGAGTCATAACAGTAGCAAAATGACAGTGATGAAGTAGCAACGAAAATAATTTTATGGTTTGGGGTTCCCACAACATGAGGAACTGTATGAAAGGGTGGCGGCATGACGAAGGCTGAGAACCACTGCCTTAGATCATTTTGTGCCTCCAGTTGTGGCTATGGGTTAGGTTTTGTTAATGAAGTCAAAGCTAACTTGGTTTCCCGGAGATAAGCTATTTGTGCCAGGTTAGATTTAGTGGATGACACAGCTCAGGAGCCCTAGTTTATTCATTTATTCTTCAGGCTGATGAGTCCCTGGGTTGTCCAAATGCTTAAGCTGGACTGAACTGCAACTGAGAGGTTGGTGGTTCAAACCCACCCAGCAGTGTCTCAGAGGTAGGGCCTGGCAGTCGGATCCCCAAAAGTCATAGCCCTGACAACCCAGTGCAGCAGTTCTAGTACGTCCACACTGCATCACTAGGACAGCAAACAGCAGCAGCTTGAGACCAAGTCCATATCTGTGACGCCTTGCCTTGTGCAGAGGCACGTGTCCTTCCATTGCCATGCGTTTCACCAGCTGAGTAGAATTGCAGACTGACTTCCTTTCTTCCTTGTGCTCCACAACTGGGGGCAGGAGGGCTTTGAAAAGACACTTGGGAGAAATGTGGTGCCCGGGCCCGAGGGGTTGCCCAAGTGGGCAAGAGGAGGCCACAGCTCCACTCCCCTCCCTCCACCAACCTCTCTTTGGTTTCAGCTCGTGACAACTGAGCTCTTCGGGGCAGGAAGGACTTGGAAGCTGAGCAGCACAGGTGCTCCCGGATCTGGAGAGAATAGTGGTCCTCGGAATCCATGATGAGCCACCCTGACTACCGGCTGGACCTCCAGGCCCTGAGGACTCCCAGAGGTAGCAAAATAGAAGATGAAATCTCCTCTGTGCCCCAGGAGACCACGAGCGAGTGGAATGGGTGTGGAGGTGGAGGGTGGGTGTTGGGCCTGAGGGCAATTATAGCTCTTCTGGTGACCTGTTCAAGAGTCTCCAGTGCTATTTAGTCTAGAATTAGGTGTGGTTGGTAGTTGTCTTGGTTTATTGTTATATTGAGCACAGCTGTTCAATTTCCTCCAGCGAAGTGCCAGTCTTTTAGTAATCCCTATTTTTAAACAACATGTGTCTGTAAAGAGCACAGCATCCTGAACCCATTATTCAGATTCTGCTCCATGCACATGTGGGGCCGGTTGAAGTCGCAGGTCTCATCTGTGTGCATTTTAGTTCCACGCTTCCCTACCCATCCCTTCCTTCTTGTGACTGCTTGAAATCATCAAGTTTAGTCTCTCTTTTAAATGACAGTGGTGGGGGGAAGGGTATAAAAATCTCAGCTTAATAAAAACAATAGCAAACAAAAAAACTACACAATCTCTAACTTGGGAAAGAGTTGATTGCTGCCTCATGTTTCTAGGTGTGTCCTCTGGGGCTGGCCCGCATGGTGTTGGTGCTTCGCCAGGTGACAAAACGTCAAAGAACAAGTCCGTGCGAGGGAAGAAAAAGAGCATATTCGAAGCCTACATGTCCAAGGAGGATGTCTCCGAAGGCCTGAAGAGAGGAAGGCTTATCCAGGTGCTTAAAACATACTAGAAGGCAATCCCTTTGTGTGGAATCCAAAGTAATCATTCATTCAACCCATGCGTAATGCGTATTGTTCTGTGCTGTGGGCTTGGATGATGGCATGATGGGCCTGGGGCTGACAGCTTCTCAGACCTCCAGTGCATGCAGAGATGATAAGTGCCTCAAGGTAGGTGGAGACAGAGCGCTCTGAGCTCTGGGAGGAGGAAGCCATCACTTCCAGTTAGGCCCGTATAGGAATGTTTTACTGGAAGGACACCATGTGAGCCTGGTCTTGGATTGGTGCCGTTTGAAAATGGGACGGTAAGAGAGAGCTTTACAATAGGAGGAACCAGCTTGAGCTCTTCAAGTGGAAGTGGGAGATAGGGTTTAGGTAAATGAAACATGGACTAAATCCATTTGCTTGGGGCACATGGGTGCTGAATGATGGGGAATCAAGAATGGATCAGGTTGAGACGGAAACAGTATATCCAACAGTCCCCAATATAGCTTGGCCGCTTTCCTGTTGACAGTGTGTGTTCAGCTGCCAGCCGAGCAGTATGGTTGAGCCAGCATTTCTTGTGCATTCTCTGTAAGCCAGGATCAGTTCTGGTTCTGGGTCTGCCACGTGGGTTCTCGGACCCAGGAGGATAAGATACGGTTTTTTACACTTCAGAGCTCACGGTCCCTGGGGAGTAGATTTGGGTCTGAAATATTAAGTGTTTAGATAAAGGCATAACTGAGTTTGTGGGAGTATGTTGAGGGTGAGGAAACCATATAGGCTGAGGTTCTGAAAAGAGTCCTGTTGAAGATAACACCAGTTGTGGGTCGAAGGATGACCGGGTGAGCCAATTATGTATTACGTGTGGGATATAATATCTCATGCAACTAAAATTTTGCTAAAGACAATTCACAACTGGATGCAGCAGTCTGTCAACAGGGTGTTCCCAGAAATTCAAGCTGGATTCAGAAGAGGACATGGCATAAGGGGTATCATTGCTGATGTCATCTGGATCTTGGCTGAAAGCAGAGAAAACCAGAAGGATGTTTATGTGTGTTCTATTGATTATGCAAAGGCATTTGCCTGTGTGGATCATAATAAACTGGATAACCCTGAGAAGAATGGCTCACCCTGTATGCTGAGCAGATGAGATCATCGGAGAAGTAGGACTATATAAAGAAGCAAGAGGCATCAGGATTGGAGGAGGTTTTTTTGACAACCTATGATAATTCAGGTGACACAGCCTTCCTTGAAAGCAAGGACTGGAAGCCCTTGCTGATGATAATCAAAGGTTACAGCCTTCAGTGTGGACTGTAACTCCATGTGAAGAAAACCAAAATTCTCACAACTGGACCAAATGGTAAGTAACATCATGATAAAATGAGGAAAATTGAAGCCATCAAGGATTTTATCCCGCTTAAATCCACAGTCAGTACTCTTGGAAACAGCAGTCAAGTAACCAAGTGCTGTCTCGCATTGGGAAAATCTGCATGAAACCTCTTTTAAAGTGTTGAAGAGTAAAAAAAAATAAATAAATTTGTTGAAGAGCAACGATGTCACTTTGAGGACTGTGTTTGTCTGGGTTGACCAGAGAAGCAAATTCATAGACACTCATGTGTATAAGAAATAACTTTATATAAAAGAGCAATTGTATATTGATAAAACATCCCAGCCCAGTCCAGATCAAGTCTGTAAGTTCAATATTAGCCCATATGTCCGATACCAAACTACAAATTCCTCTTCAGATGCACACAACACATGCAGTGACGCCAAATGCAGGAAGATCACAGGCCAGTGGGTGGAAAGTCTTGTGGATGTCGTGGTGGTGGAAGCATCTCAGCTGGTGGGGGTCTCCATGTGGCTCCTCCAGCTCCAAGGCTCTGGCTGCCATCAGCGTAGCTCCATGTGTCTTGTCAGCAGGAATGTCTCACAGAAAGTGAGTGTGTGTCCCGCCTCCAGCGAGCTATTTATCTCCATGGTGCATCCAAATGAGGTCATGAAGCTGTGACCTGATTGACAGGCCAAACTCCACCCCATTCACTATTAATAGTCTCAAGTTGACAACAAATTATGTAACTACCACAAGGACTAAAGTGCTCGTGACCCATGCCATGGTAATTTCAGTTACTTCATGTGCGTGTCAACAGTGGACATTCAGTAAAGACCAAAGAATCGATGCATGTGAACTGTGGTGTTGGCAGGGCATATTGACAGTACCATGGACGGCCAAAAGAACCAACAGATCAGTCTTGGAAGAAGTACAGCCAGCATGCTCCTTTGAGGCAAGGATGGCGAGACTTCCTCTCCCAGACTTTGGACACGGTATCAGGAGAGATCAGTCGTGGTAGTTAGATGATTTCGTGTCAACTTGAAGATGCATGAAAGTGTAGGAGTGGAATCTAACCTGTCAATCAAGTCACAGCTTGATGGTGCCTCCCTGGGGTGTGGCTTTCTTAAACATGGGCACAAACCGAGAACCTCCTCCTCTCTCTGCCCCTTCCTGTATGCTGGGACTCTGCTGCTGACTCCGAGAGCTGCTGGTGCTCTGCCGGGTTTCTATCAACCTTGGAACCACGCGACTGTGGCCTGTGATCTTCCTGTAGTCTGTGGCTATGTGACTCTGAAGAAGGACTTATGGACTAGAATTAGACTCAGGGACTTGAGTTGGACTGGGATGCCTGCTTGATATATAATGACTTCTTAATATCAAGCTTTCTTGTACATAGATGAGCATCACTGGATTTGTTTCTCCAATCACCCTAGTCTAACACGCAGTCTCTGAAAAAGGACATCATGTTTGTTAAAGTAGTTGGGCAGCAGAAAATAGGAAGACCCTCAACGAGATGGGTTGACACAGTGGCTGCAAAAGTGGTCTCAATTACAGAAACAGTTGTGAGGCTCGTGCAGGACTGGGCCTTGTCTCGTTCTGTTGTACATCGGGTCCCAACCAACTTGATAGGACCTAACAACATATGTGTGGGGAGGAGATGTGGAGAGGTAATGCCACTGTCTAGGTACTTTAGAGAAACAAATCCACAGCAACTCATGTATAAGAGAGAGTTTTATGTAAAGAAAGTGTGCATCACGAAAACATCCCAACCCAATGCTGCCCAAGCCCACAAGTCCAACATTAACCCATTAACCCAGCACCAGTCCACAAAGTCCTCCACCTCACAAAACAGAGGCAATGATGCCGACTGCAGGAGGAAAGCCGAGTCAGTGAATGAATAAGCATCTCAGCACTAGCAGGGGTCTCCACACGGCTGCTCCAGCACCCAGGGCTGCATCGGGATAGGTCCATGTGGCTTCTTCTTGGGGATGTCTTGTAGGAAGTCAGTCTTGCAAGCTGAAGCAGGGAGCTGCTAAGGCAGCTGCACCCTAGTGCGACCATCACAAAGCAAGAGACCCGAGAACTCAAAAGGCGAGGCTCACCACCCATTTATCCTTCCGCCTTTCAATTAGCCCCACATGTGATTATCGGCCAGGTTGGCACAATTACTAACTCAGCCACTAATGAAAACATGAACATGTGGCTCGACGGGGAGCAAGACGGCTTAGGTCTCCTTGGAATGACATATGAAGCAGACGGTAGTAATAACAAGGCTGATGGGGGAGGCAGGATATCTAGAAGTATTGTCAGAATTAAGTCTGTTTTTTGATTCTTGGATTAGGATAGAAATATTGCCAGGTGCAACATGGCTTTTTTTTTTTTTTTAAAAAGGACCATTTCCCTGCACAGGCACGTTTCCCTGCAAAACCACATTTGCGGTTTTGGTGGAAGTTTGACCAATGAATCGGTACTCTTCTCTTCTCTTCTTCTCTATCACCTTTCTATATTCACTTGTGGTCACGTGCATATGTGATTGAAGTCTCCTCATGGAGAAACTTAAGGAATTGATCGTTCTGATTCTAGGATTAGTATTGGTTTCTTTACTTTTTTTCTTTTAAAGAGCATCCCCAGAATTTCTTTGACAAGACTTCTCTTACGAAATAAAAGCTACACTGGGCCATTTCTGCAACCATGAATCCCCCGTTGACTGTCTCATCATTTGACCTCCAGGCCCAACTCTCTTCTCCCCTCCGCTGAGGGCTTATCCCAGGCGTCTTGATTCAAGCCCTGGGCCCCACTGTGCTCCTCCTCTTCTCATCTCCAGGAACTTTCCACCCTCTGCTCGGGGCTGCACCTCTGCTCCCTGATGTGGCCGTGCCTTCGCACATGCCGTGCCTGATGCGCTGAACACTTTGTTCCACGTGCTGATGTCATCGAGCTGGCCCTTTAAAAGCCCTATCAAAACGACCCTCCTTTGAGAAGCCTCACCTTATTGCCCCAAGCAGAGTTGATTATTTCCTCTTTCTTTCCAGAAGCCAACTTTTTCTGTACATCGTGCTATAAATTTATTGCCATTTCCTGGCATGTATATCCTGCCCCCCATTAGCCTGTGGGCAGAGCTGTGTCTTATTTCCATAGGTTCCCACAGTGCCTGGCATTTTGCTTAGTGCTCGATATGTTTCCTTGGATAAATATTTCCTTACTGCCTGAAATGGTTCCAGATAGATTGTCTTTTGATGATGAGTGAATGGGAAGAAAGCTCAGTTGTGAGAATGCGAGAGAAATGCAGCTTAGAATTTAGGTTCTAGGAACTTTCTTGAGACAGGAACGAGGGAACTTTTCTGCAGTGGTATTTGGTCCCTCTTCTTCCTCCTTTTCCTGACCACTTTTGAAGCCCCTCTTAGCTGACATTAAACACACACACACACACACCCTGAAAAACAAACAAAAAGCAGCAGTCTAACATTCCCAGGAGTTTGTAAGTGATTCCTCCTGGCCTGTGACATCATGGGACTGTGCAGCCAGAGCCCCCCCACATTTGAGAACAGTTGTCTTTGCAGATGGGGAAGGGAACGTGTCCCAGATATGAGGTCACCATGAGGGATATACAGCACTGTAAATAAGGTTTTCCTAGGCAGGGGACAGAGCCCATCTGCTTTCTGATTGAAATGCTCTATGTGCAGT